GATGATGACGTTGATGATGACGATGACAATACGTATATGATGACACTGATGATATTAATGATGATGACGTTAATGATAGGAGGAGAAAAAGAAAGAGAGAGAAAAGAGAGAGTGTGTGTGTGAGAGAGAGAGAAAGAAAGAAAGAAAAAGAGGGAAATTGAGACTGAATAAATTTCTGATTTTTATTAAACACCAAAGATACACATTGAATCTGTCAATCTGTTAGAACATAAAAATAACATTCATAATAAAACAACAACATTAATGCAACAACATTAATGGCATGTGCCAATAGTAAAACTATTTATAACGTAAAAATGAATTGAAATAAATAAAAATGACACACACGCAAAAACAAATACACACACGCACACAGACACACACATACATACACAGACACACACACAGACACGCACACACACAGAGAAAACTTCAACATTTATTAGAATAAACCTATAGGAAGTTTCAACTAATAAAATAGTTTATTTTAGCGCTGAAATTTTTCAATATTGCCTAATAAATTATTATTGAATTAATTACAACATGAATAAATGATAGAGTTTAATGATTAAATGAATAAAATTGAATAAAACAAATAACACATAGCACACACACATTATACATCTCTCTCTCTCTCTCTCTCTCTCTTCTACTTTCTCTCTATCTCTCTCTCTCTCTCTCTCTTATTATTATTATTATTATTATTATTATTATTATTATTATTATTATTATTATTACTATTATCAAAACGCCATGTACATGGCAGAGAAACACAAAAAAACTTGAACAGATATGCATGCCATTAAAAAGAAATTTTTTAATCTGTTCTGCTTTGTTCTAAACTCTTTGATCTTTCAATGATGGATTGATTGATTGAATGATTGATTGACTGATTGAACGATTGAGTGACTGATTGATTGATTGATTGATTGGTTGATTGATTGACTGATTGATTGGTTAGTTGATTGGTCGATTGATTGGTCGATTGATTGACAGATTTCTTCATTTTATTTACTTTATTTTCAATTATTCTAAAAAGCCAAATAATTTTTAATTTTCTAAATCGAAGCTTTACTTAAAAAATGTCGACGAATCTCGATTAATCGGTTTAATGGACATAAAAATTCGACATTAAAGACTCAGTGGTAAAACAATTTAAATCCAAAAAACAAAAAACAATACAACAAACATACATACAATACAAATGATGACACACATTAAAACTCATGTGCAGAAGTATGGTCTCATGTAGAGTAGAGAAAATACAGATTGAATTTCAATTGAAAAACATGTCTATAAAGCCATATTACTGAATAAACACAAATAAATAAATGAATAAGAAGAACTAACAAGCAAACACACGCACAAACGCGCGCACACACGCGCGCGCACACACACGCACACAAACACATTTACATATATATCAACCATGCAAACCAACCATGCAAACATTATCATATCAGTGATTGCTGAAGTACATATGAGAATTATCTTTTTAAGTGAGTTATTTATGATGGATATATATATATATATATATATATATATATATATATATATATATATATATATATATATATTATATATATACACGTGTGTGTGTGTGTGTGTGTGTGTGTGTGTGTGTGTGTGTGTGTGTGTGTGTGTGTGTGTGTGTGTGTATACAATGGTCTTGATTAATTAATGCCTTAATGGTTGATTGTATGTTTATGGGAGAAGATAACACTAATGGAGCTTGTATTATTATTGCTATTATTGTTATTGTTATTATTAGTGTTATTTTTCTAAAAAAAAATCTGAGAAAAGTTCACATGACTTGTCAGATGAAAGAAGACAAAGAATTCCTAAAACTAAAAAAATATATACTGTATATAATACAATGTCACCAAATGTCTGTGTGCGTGTGTTTGTACGTGCATGTGTGTGTGTGTGTGTGATTATGAATATATAAATATGTGTATATGTGTCTGTATGTGTATATTTGTGTGTTTGTGCGTGTGGTGTGTGTGTGTATTTAATACATTGCATGTATACATAATAATTTGTCAACTGCCAAATTTTAATAGAGCAAAAAAATGTGTGACCTTTTAATTTATTTTCACAAAACCTTTCTTTCACAAATACATCATTCCTTCTCTCTCTCTCTCTCTCTCACTCTCTCCCTCCCTCTCTCTCTATTTTCATTCTTCCTTTCCAGCACACACATATGTTACACACACGCGCGCGCGCACGCACGCACGCACACACACATACATACATACACAACACATACATATAATATAAATAAAGACAATATTAACACTAATAATTATAGTAATGATGATGATGATGATAATAATAATAATATGATGATGATGATAATAATAATATTGTTTTTAATATTATGAATTAAATAATAAAAAATAACAAAAATGATAATAATTGTTGCTAATAATTAGAGATAATTTATTTATTTATTTTATATAATTACTCAATTACTAATTACTATATAAAAATCTCTTCCCACAAATTATAAATAATACACTATATATATATCTCTCTCTCTCTCTCTCTCTCTCTATATATATATATATATATATATATATATATACAATTATTTGAGACATTTTTATTAACAAAGAATAATAATAACTCATTTTTTATTGTAATATAATTAATAATTATTAAAAATTAACTCTCTGTACTGGACTACTGTAGTCTGCCAACTTATTAATTAATAACATTTTTGAATTATAAAATAATTTAATTAAAGATTTTATATATTAATATTTATTTATAATTTTATATTTTACAACTATTCAAAAAAAAAACAAACCAGACCAAACCTTGCATGGTGAACTGAAATGATAACCAGAGTAAGAAGAACGCATTCATGATTGCAAACCGTTTAACTTTTTATTTTCAAATAAAAGTCGTTTTTTAAATAATAAAATTATCTTATTCTTTCACTTTTCATTCGTTATCAGTTAGTTCGGAGTTTAAAAACTTAAAAAGCGATAATTGCGTATCTAGCAGACATACCAAAGAACTGATTACATTTAAATGAAATATTAAAAAATACGAATCAGCTGTTTTGCACGAATTAAAGTTTGCACTGTTTAAGTTACATTTCGAATATAATGTAATATTTTGTAATGTATTATAAATATATTATGTATTACTCACTCCAAATTCCAAAAAATAATCAACATATTTTCAACAAAATGTCTTATTTTATTCTCCAAGTAACCACGCGTGACCTGCAAATATTCCACACTGAACGTTCATTCACATCATTTACTCTTAACAAAATCAATTATCGAAATAGTTATATATGTTACTGGTGGGTGCGATTCAAGCACTTTATATATATAAATAAATATATATATATTTACATATATAAAATATAAAATGTATATATATATATATATATATATATATATGACAGAAAAGTATTAGTACATTTACATATGCAATGGAAATTCGATATGAATGAATGACTGCTGCCATGTGGATGAAGTTATAATCCTGTATATTTAACACTGCTAAGTCTTAACATTATAAAGTAAACATAGGAACAAATGTCAGCAACCATTGTATGTTTAGAATTAAAGTTACCAATTTTAAGTTGTGAATGCTTATTTATTTATGATAAAGGTGTGTAAAAAATGTATTAGAAGTCATTTGAATTCTATTTATATACTTTGATTGACAGCTTCGAAAGATTGCAAACCTTTGTTGTTGAACAAAACGATAATGGTGCTTTAAATTTGATCATTTTCTTTCATTTGAATGATTTTTATTTTAGATTTTTAAATGTTTTCAGCAAGAAAACGAATAAAAAATTAATTTTTTTAAATATTTTCAATAACAACTTAGTAATTTTTGTAACATACATACCAAATATATGTGTCTTTTTGAATACTATTCATGTACTCTATTGATATGTAATGTATGAATATATGAGTGAAATATGATATTCCGAAAAAACATTACATTAATAAACATTATTTACATTCTATTTTATATCATATTTTGTTGAAAATATTGAAAATTTAAGCCAAATTGGGTAAAACATCACTGCAAATTTCATCATTGATTAATTTTTATTTAGAAATATTATTCTCAGGTCTATGGTAAACAAACCATTATTTTTATTTAATGATTTAAACTTTAATTTTTAAAAGAGTAACGTAAAATTCTTAAATTATAGATTAACAACATTTTACGATTGACCAAAATTAAGAAAAATCAATTCATAAAATATTCTATTCAAGAATTAAAAACCCACTTTTGAGAGGATTTTAAGATGGACGTGTTGAATCGATTGAAAACAGTCGTCACTAACGTTCTGCCAGTCGGAAATCCCATCACGATTGAGTTAGAGATTCACGGACACCGAGCTAGTGGGGGTCCAGGGATGATGTGGAAGATTTACGATGCTGTATTCAAGTCTTCTAAACAAGTGGCTGGCACATATGTTTCCTTCTCTTCTCCTATTTCTCCTTTGATTTAACGAATTTTCATTTCAAGTTTTAGTTTTGCTAAGAAAAAAAAGAGAAGTTGCAAACACTAATTAATTAAATTAATGTTACTAATTAATCCAAATAATGATTAGTAAAAAATTTGCTACTGGTACTTCTATCTCTAGGAGGCCTCAGTTTTCATATTTGAGAAAAAACAACTGGATAGGTTCTCCAAACGAGAACGAGATCACTTCATTGACATCCTAAAGAGAGGGGTCCAGCAACTCACAAAACTACGACATCCTAAAATATTGTCTATCGTCCATCCATTAGAAGATTCTAGGTTTTTTTTCTTATCTTGGTTTTATATTTATAGTTAATTAATATTTATAATCTTTTTTTGAATGTTTGTGTTTTGTTGTTGTTTTTTGATGTATATTTTTTATACGTTATTATTTTCTTATCTTTGTTTTTGTCCTAATTCAGGGAAAGCCTAGCCTTCGCAACAGAGCCAATTTTCAGTTCTTTGGCTAACGTCCTTGGTAGCCACGACAACTTACCGAATCCGCCACCGGCTTATTTGAAAGATTTTACATTATTCGATGTTGAGATCAGATATGGGTTGTTGCAGGTTTGTGTTTGTTGTTGGTGTTGCCGTTGTTGTTGCAGGTTTCTGTTTGTTGTTGGTGTTGCCATTGTTGTTGGTGTTGTTGTTGTTGTTGTTGATGTTGCTGATGTTAATTATTTTTTTACACACAGATTGTTGAGGGTTTATCATTTCTGCATAGTGGAGCCCATATAATTCATGGTTGTTTGATTGTGATGATGTTGTTGTTGTGGGAATGTTGTGATGTTGTTGTTGTGGGAATGTTGTGATGTTGTTGTTGTGGGAATGTTGTGATGTTGTTGTTGTGGGAATGTTGTGATGTTGTTGTTGTTGATGTTGTTGTTGTGATGTTGTTGTTATGATTGAGTTGTTATGATGTTGTTGTTGTTGATGTTATTGAAATATTCCACATGATCGCCATCATCACTATCATTGTTGTTATCATCATCGTCGTCGTCCTCATCATCATCATCATCATCATAACTTTCTTTATTTTTCATCACTCCCGTCATTTTAATCATTATCATCATCGTCGTATCATCAGCAACATCATCAACATCGTCATCATTACCACCATCACCACCACCACCATCATCACCATCATTAGGAAACTGTTGTCCGGAATCCGTCTACATAAACAAATTAGGCTGCTGGAAGTTAGCCGGATTTGAACATGCAATCCTAAATGCAAACGCCCAAGGAGAGGTTTGTGGGTGGGTGGTTGGATGGGTGGGTGGTTGGATGGGTGGGTGGGTGGGTTGGAATATGGGGTATTACCTAATCATTTTAAGGTATTTTAAGGTACCACGTGGTGTTAAATGATAGATACCTCATCATTTTATGGTATTATAGTACTATTGTATGACTAACTCTCTCGTCATTCTCATCACCATCATCATCTTCTTCTTCCTCATCATTCTCCTCTTCTTCATTTTCTTTTTCATCATCTTTAC